TAGGTGGCAGTAGTGTTCTTTGACAAACATGGATGTCTCCAGTAAAGCACATTCAAATGAAAATTGCTATTAATTAAAAACACTGATTATTTATCAGTGCCGGATTTTTCCTTTAAATTTTCTGGGTCCTCATTTTCCCTGATTTATAAATTCCTGGGGCTCCATTTATAAATCTCTTCTACAAACAAACCGGGGCCTGTAACTTGCATACACCAACGTCTACTCAATGGTTGTGATTTATAAAAAATGAAATGCCTGCTCCCTCACGCCATCTCTGACACATCCACACAGATATACATATTTTCGATAGTGGGAAAACTGGCGACACAGATGGTGTCTGAGGGGAACTGGAGCCAGATTGTATCATCATTTCTCACACGTTTGTCATTTCATATCAAACTTCAATCATAGATCGACTTTATCAGATGTGAAACCACAGTGTGATTCTGGCACAATTCTGAGACGACGTGTTAAAAATCATTTTTAAAAAGCTTATTATTAAAGCTGTTATTTATTATCACCAATGAACTGAAAATCTCTATCTTTATGTTTGCCTTGCCTTAGAAATTGATATTTATATATACGGTAGATATTTATAATATTAACTAGTGACTGTAGAGATTGACATTACAATGTGACTGCAGGTTTGTGTGTTTAATATGAAAATATATTAATGTAATAAAAATGATGAGTGGAAAAACTAAATAAAATAAATTGTGGCCTAAACACAACCATTCTTTCCCATATTAAGCATTAGAGAGATGTCCTGCTTCACCAGATCAATGGGGATCTTTTTGTTTTTATGAATTATTTACAACTTATAAGTGATTTTCTACCTGAAGCTGCTTTTATAAACAAAACAAACTATTTGAATGAATTCATAAATCTGAAATATCCCGGTCGGTTCTCAGCACAATGCTGCCTTGATGTTGTTCATCTAATCAGTCCATCAGAGTCTGAAGGTTTCCTTAAAAATCCTTTTTTATTTATTTGTTGCCATCAAACATTTAACTGGCTCCCAATCTCCCAATTGTCACAATTGTTTTATTGTCTGTTTATAAAGAGATTCTAAAGGTTTTAGTGAGGTTTTATTTGCCTGTGACCAGGTTGTAAGACAGTAGGTGATGTGCGACAGAACCATACTGTACATGACATTTTAGCTGCCTGGAGTGAAAAGTTTGACCTTATGAAATGGAAATTTGTAATATTGAATTTGATTCTATTGCACATGTTTTTGATCTGGGATTTAAAAGTGAATTTAGAGTCTATTAGGATGCATGGACCATTCATTCATGTTATGTTATGTACTGTTTTAACTTTATGGGTCAAAAACAACATAAAACACTTATTTGTGGCTTTTCTTTGCCGTCCACCAGTTGTCATACTTCCTTTTTTTTATAGTTTCTAATTATATTTACTTTTCCTTTCTCTAGATTTACTATTTTTTCAGTGGAAAAGAATATCCTGGGCCAGAAGAATTTAAAGAGAGGGTACAGTTTATTGGAGACATCAACAAAAAGGATGCCTCGATACAGCTGAACCCGGCTCAGTTCAGCGACAATGGGACCTTCTTCTGCGACGTGAAGAACCCCCCAGACATAGCGGGAACTCCGGCTCGAACAGAACTCAGGGTTGTTCTGAGAGGTAAATATCTGTCTGTTTAAAAGCAGACTGTCCACCCATACAGATGTTTATGTGAAATCATACTTGGCCAAGGTCTCCCACCGTTAGAACTCCATCACATTTTGTCCTGTTATAACCTCAGAAATCAGTGTAATATATTTATATTTCAGTTAACCTTTGGATTTATAGCCGTAAAGCTTCTACATATGAAGTGGAAGGAAAATGATGCTTCTCAAATATTTTACAAATGTATATATATATTAGGGATGCACGATATAATGGGCCCCCTGTCGGTATCGGCCTTAAAAGTGAATATTGGACGTCGGCCACCCCACCGATATTTAACCCGATATTTGATCAGCCTCTGAGTTTCTAAAGTCTAAAAAAAAAAAAAAA